GCTACATTTGGAGCATGGCTTTGTATGGGGCTGAAAGTTGGACACTTAGGGCAGTAGATCAGAAACACCTGGAAAGCTTCGAAATGTGGTGTTGGAGAAGGATGGAGAAGATCAGTTGGACCGATTATGTGAGAAATGAAGATGTGTTATTTAGAGTCAGTGAGCAGAGGAATATCCTACAGGAAATAAGAAAACGGAAGGCTAATTGGATTGGTCATATCTTACGCAGCAACTGCCTTCTAAAAGAAGTTATTGAAGGAAGGATAGAGGGGCGGATAGAAGTGACCAGAAGGCGAGGAAGAAGACATAAGAAGATGCTGGATGACCTTGGGGACAGAAGTGGATATTCTCATTTGAAGGAGAAAGCTCTAGATCACATTAAATGGAGGAACTGTTTTGGAAGAGACTGTGGACCTGTCGTCTGACAGATTACTGATGAATGAATGAACCCATCTTAATTTTGAAACTTAGGAATTTGAGCTTTTTGTACCATTAAGCTGTCAGGGCTCTGTGATTATCCATAATCCCAAATTCTTAATTTTTTAGACCTTGATGAAAGACTGAAAATTTATTTGAGGGGAAAATTTGAGGTGACTTGAGGGAATGTTCATCACTATGAGTGTGCATTATGCACTGATGACAATTTAAGCAGCAGTTTCATCACATTTATGAAGAAAGAAAGGGCACTGTCACAAATATAAGGTTCTCACAGTGATAATTGACCAGTTTATGGTTGTCTGTGTTGCAACATTGTGCATTCTTGTAGGTGGATCCTGACGTTTCAGAAGAACATGCAGCCTCCATCTTTGGGGTTGAAATGCATAGGGTGAGGAACTGGTTGGCTTTTATAGGCTGACAGAAAAATTATCTTTTCCAGAACTACAACATTCTTTTTTGTCACAGGAGGGGGATGGAATTACGAGACACAATGACTCTTTTGAGGGCCACAGTATCGATTTTCATCACAGGAGGGGATATTAATTTGTGAGAAAATATGGCCGTTTCAAGGGCCTCTGCAGACAGTAGGTGGAAAGTGAGAAATCTTCCCTTCCTTGTCCTTGGAGAGAACCTTTTTCTTCCTGTCCTTCGGGAAAAAGATAAAGAGGCTTCCAAAACCTGCTCAGGAAGAATCCATTCTCCCTATTTACGTTGTTATGATGGAGCTCCATTTCTTAACACTTCCCTTAAGAGCGAGTCTTTGTGCCTGACTCTTTTGGCCAGGATTCAGATAATATTGAGCAGAATACTCTGAGCTGTATCATTGCTGAGTTATATCATAGCGACTTCTCCAATTGATACTGTCTGATTTGAGAGTGGTGTTTGTTAACCCTGGACTTGGTGGATCAACCAGTCTATCCAAGGTATGCCTTCCAACATTCACAGGGGATGTGGGCTCCGCGTTTTCAGGCCCAGACCATCCATCATGCGATGAAAGGAACTGGTGAATTTTCATGGGGAAATGCATACAGTCTTAAGGTTATTCTGGGGTAGTGCTCTGCTGATGCAGTTTATAGTGTCTGGTTTAAGTGCAAGGCCATTAGCTTGGGATCCTCTGTAGTTAGTCTTGGCTTGCTGTTGAGGTGGATTGAGAGCCCACCATGTAATGAATGGTCTGCTTAGAGCAACGTCAAGTCATTCTGATCTTCTGTTGTCATTGGCAGCCTGTAGCTGTCATTATAGGATCAGAATTTCAGGCTATGAATATGCAAGTTGCCATACACCAATGTAGAAAAGCTTTATAAAAATACTCCAGAAAGTACTAGGTCCCATTTTTTTTCCTTGGCACTACAGCCCTCCATTAACTCCGTTCACTTCGGTTTTTCTAGATCTTACACATACGGTAGGACTCCTTGGGCGAGTGATCAGCTCGTCGCAAGGCCTCTACCTGTAGACAAACACAGAAAAACGCACACACGCAAACTAAACATCCATGCCCTGAGTGGGATTCGAACCCACGCTCTCGGCTTCCGAGCGAGCGAAGACAGTGCATGCCTTAGACCGCTCGGCTACCGTGACCGGCACTAGGTCCCATAGCGAAGCCAAAAAAAATGGTATAAATTATAACACTCCTGACTAGTATTTGGGGGTTCTGCAGTTCATATCTCATCAAGGACATCAACTATCCCGGCTGAGGCGTGTCATAATTTTTCTCAGCCCCCGCAATAAGTTGAGGTTGGTGATGACTGCTTCATCTTCAGTTCTCTGAAGTTGATTACATTTATCCACTTGTACTTGTATAATTTGATTCTAAATAGCCTCTCCAGTTGCTACAGTGTCTTTAAATTATCTACAGTCAAACACTGAGAAATTTAGCCAGTTTAATTCCATGAAATAGAATTCTTCTACATAATGTTTCAAGTTTACTATTAACTGTACTGACAC